TTTCCATGAAGTAAAGAAGTGGGAAGTCTATTGATTATGTAAGTGGTAGTTTGTATACATTCACCTTAGAAAGTAAAAGGTAAATTAGCTTGAAAACGAATGGCTCTAGCAACATTTAATAGATGTTGATGCTTTCTTTTGACTCATCGATTTTGTTGAGGTGATTCAACACAAGTCTTTTCATGTATAACACCTTTTGATGAAAAAAATCTCTCAGGTGAAATTCTGAACCATTATCTGAACGAATACACTTTATCTTGAGGTTAAATTGTGCCCCAATTAAAGTGAAGAAAGCCGGAATGACAAATTATGTTTGACTCTTAGAATTTAGCAACCAAGTCCATGTACATTGAGTAAATTCATCAACAAGAGTTAGAAAATATTTTGAACCATCAATAGCAGTAGTAGAGAAAGGACCCCATAGAAACATAGGGTAATCTGTGCAATTTGGCCATAGGGAAAACTTCACACTAATGTATATTATTTACATTCAAATCTGAAATGATAGGTTGCAGCATTTGTAGGCTCTACAAAGATGGATGACCTAACCTAGAATGCCACAAATCAGAAACTGTGGATGTTACGGAATTAACAAAGTGTTTGGGTTGTGTGGAGGTGATATTTAGCATATAGAACATGCCATTTCTCTCTTTAGCCAGACCAATCATCGTCCATGAGCATAGTTCCTATAAATAGCACACACCAGACAATAAGATGAGAATACATCTGTTTTAAACAAGTAACTAACTGAAACAATTTTGAGGGCAAGAAGACCACATTGGCTACACTGAAGACGCTCATTCTTATTGTTCTGTCCAGTGTAGTTGTTCCTTCTTCCAATAGTAGTTTGATTTCTATTGAAATTCTTAGCAACCATAGCAACAGAATCTAGATTATGTGTGATTCCAGCAACGATTTCTCTTTGCTTATCCTCTTGTACAACTAGAGAGAAGACTTTGTTAATTGTTGGTAATGGATCAATCAATAGTATCTGACCTTGAATCTGAGAGTAACTCTCATTTAGCCCCATCAGGAACTGCATGACATATTTCCGTTGTTGAAATTTCACCAAGGAAGCTAAGGGTCTATAACACCCAAGTTCATCCCAATGTATCTTCAGTTTAGTGAAATAGGCACTCACTGAACACTGATCTTGTGTTAAAGAGGCGTTTGCCTTCCTCAATTGAAAGATACGAGGTCCATTATTTTGTGAAAACCTCTCTTTAAGATCAGACCAAATATGAGCAGCAGTATCAATATAAAGGACACTAGCAGCAATTTTTTTAGAAATTGAGTTTAAAAGTCATGAAATAACCATATGATTCCACCTCTTCCAAGTTGGATAGACCGAATCACCTTCATCAGGTTCGCTCAGAGATCCGTCGATGAAACACAACTTGTTTTTGGCACATAGAGCCATTTCAATAGATCTACTCCATGAGGCATAGTTGTCTTCGTTCAGCTGCTAAGAGACAATCAAGGCACTAGGACTATCTCCATGATGTAAAAAAATGGACTAAGAACCTCAATTCTTACTACAGATTCAAATGTAGGAATCGAAACATGAGGCTCATGAATTAATGACTCAGGAGTTGAAATGGAAACATCATTATTCTCTGATACCATCTTGAGATTAAGCTAGCAAGTGCAAGAGTCTAACTCTGAGAGAATACAGAAAGGAAAAATGAATAGAAAAGATTCTGTGTATTATTGAAATTATATATATGAATTGTACATCAGGTGGTCCTTAAATAGAAATGGAAAAAAAATACAGTTGTTTATAGCTGTACACTAACTAAAATCAGCTGATCTAACTAACTTCTACAGCTCACTTCCACATTAGTTTCTTCTGTTAGTTTCAACAATACATTTTTCCTCCTAAATTTGAAAGATTTCAAAAGCGAGTGTGGAATCATATATTGTCAAGGACGAAAAAATATCATCAGCATTACACCTACATTTCTTGATGGTTGGAAATAACCCATTCGAATGATTCATATCAAGAACTGTGTTGCCTCGTCCATGAGGTTGAAAAACTATAGTTTTTGTAAGTTCTAATACATCTCTAAGTTGTTTTGTTGCATTTTCATTTAACAAACCAACAATGAACCTTTCATTTCATCTTCATGTAGAATAGTATGAAATTGTCGTTTACCAAATGCTGAGATTATTTTTGGTTGAACGATTTCGTAAAAATCAAGTCCTAATTCTTCAAGACGAAGTAGAAACACCATGAGGATTTCTTCCCTTCCCAAGGTTGCGATTATTGAATTTTTTGAATTATCTTTTCTTTTAATGGGTTTAATAGTGCATTATCAATGGTGATGAAGATCTATTGTAAGACATTATAGCATATGCAATCTGGTGAATCAAAAGTTCAGATCGCTGCAGATTTGATGATATTTTATGGAATGTGTATTATATTTTGAAATTTAAGATATTTATGGTATCGAACGAAATAGTTTATATTTTTAATGCAAATGCTATTTTTTCCCAACTTATATTAGGCCAAGCCCAAGAACGGTAATTTACGGAATTTGGCCTGACATACTTGCAGAGTGAGCTAGACAAGTACAACGTAGATTTTTCGAGAATATATTTTACAAAAATGTGATATTTTTAAAGAATGTATGATTGAAATGTAGTTATTATTGGTCAATGTGCAAAATAATTTATTGTGAAATAATGTCGTTCAAAATGAAATTGATGAAAAATAAGTTAGAATGGGCCTAGGGCCATTATTCGGGCCTATAGTTTGCAAACAATTTTCTTTCAAAATTTTTAGGGGAAAATTCATAAATAAGGTGTTTAGTTTACACCAATTCAAAAATCATGTTTATAGTTTGAAAATTCAAAAATCAGGGGTTTTTTTTTTAAATTCTAATATATTATAATATAATAAACCCACCCCACATGCACCACCCCTACCGCTTCGGGGACTATTCCGTCGACCATTTCGACCACCACTCTTTTCCGGCGACTATTCCGGCGACTGCTCCAATTCCGGCGACTATTCCGACGACTATTCCGACAATCATTCCGGTCACAGATTTATAATTGAATTAGTCACATATTATTTTTCAGTCACAAATACTAATTTTTATACGTTACAGATTATTTAATGGTCATGTTCAAAAATTTTATAGGTCACATTTAATTCGTTGGTCACAGATTTCAAAATTAGTTAGTCACATATCAAAATTTATAGGTCACACGGTCACAGATTTTCAAATTAGTTGGTCACAGATTTCAAAAATTTAAGGTCACGATTCAAAAATTTTATAGGTCACAGATCGTTCATCAGTCACAAATAAAAAATTTAAAAGTCACAAATTGTTCATCGGTCACAAATCACAAAATTTATAAGTCACACAACTTATTTTATGGTCACAAAACATAAATTATAGGTCACAAATTACTTTTATTGGTCACAAATTAATAAATTTGTAGGTCACACAATATTTATTGATCACAATTTATTCTTTATTGGTCACAATCAACAAACCATCTGTGACCACCTCCAACACAACACCACCGTCGTCTCCACCGCCAACACCATAGAAACACACCACCGCCACCACATAAACCACCGTCGCCGCCACCACAAACACCCCAGCAACCACCACTGCTGCCCACCCAATGAAAACGACCTCACCACCACCACCACCAGAAAAAGACCTCGACACCACCAACACCATCCCCCAACAACCACCACCACCACCCAATGAAAATGACCACAACCACCGCCGACCACCAACAACTGCCTCTTGCACAACACTACCAAAACTACCAACAACCGCTACCTGCACCACACGACCACCACACCATCGCCTACACCGCACCACCAACAAAAATAAGTAATTAGTCAAGTGGTCACACACCACCACCGCCGCCACTCGTCTTCGTAGCCACGAGATCCACCACCATCCCCGCCACTGTTGCCACCACCAACAAATCACCATTTGCAACTACAAACCACCACTGCTACTACCAGATTCACTGCCGCCCCCAACTCGAGACGATTCAAGCTCCGCCGCTACCGCTGCAAAGCCCAGCTGCTCAGTCTCCATGTGAAGAGGCTCCGGTCTCCTTCCATTACAGCAGCATCACAGTCCATAGAGGAGAGGAGAGGAGGGGAGGGAGAGGGAAGGGAGAGGCGAGAGAAGAGAGAGGGGGTGGAGGGGAGAGAGAGGGTGAGGGGGGGCGGGCAGGGAGTAAGTGAAAAATTAGGGTTAGGGCTTTTTTATACTACCTGATTTTTGAATAATAAAAATTGGTCCCTGATTTTTGAATTCCAATTTTCAAACCCCTAGATTTATGTAATTTCCTCAATTTTTATACTACTATTTTATTTTTGTCTTATTTCTTTTCATTAAGAAGAAGTGAAGCTGAATTAAATTGAGATAATTTAAAACTTTTAAATTTCAAATTTAAAATTTAAGAAAATTTACTTTTTGTTCTGTATTGAGAAGTGTTTTGACAATTTAGTATTTTTCGACTAAGTTGATACAAATACAACTCATCATTCTTTGTTTTATAAGAGTATAAGATATTCAAAGTTATTGATGAAATGAATGTGACAGAACATTTATAATTTTTTTAGACAAAACTTTCTAGTGCTAGTGGGCATTCAATATTGGGAGATGAGAGTTGGTACATGTGAGCCATGAGGATAATAATGGTGTTGCCACGCAACATTTTGATGAAATACACTGTTAACAAAAGTTATAATATGTCATATTTACAAATTTGTTGGACGAAAATGAACTAAAATAAAAATAAACCTTCACTGGAGGGCGAGGATAGACGTGGCCTCTTGTTTTCTTTTCATTTATTATCATGTTCTCCACATCAATGAAATCCTCTGACCCACAAAAATCACATCAGGACCATCAATCATCCACTCACATGTGATCATGTTGGATCAGAAATATCTAAATAAAAAATTGTTGCAAGATATTGATTGAAGAAATATCTAATAATCCAATGTGTTGGAAAAATTACTTTGAATAATTGTGTCTTGCACAGAGATTCTGAGCTGGCATGCCCAATGCAGTGTCCAATTTTCCCTCATGCCAGCCCTCTTTCATTGCTTGGTTTAATCTTCTAATAAACCCCGTCCGGCTGCGTTCACAGTAATTCAAGAATTCCGCCACCACTTTAACGTCATCGTGCTTCCAACACGCAGTGGTGGAAGCTGATGGTTCGACCTTGCTGGGGTTTGACTTTGTGCTGGAAGCACTCAAGTTGCTAGTAATGTACTCTACAACACCATTTATAAGATTGTGTGGAGAGTTACCTTGACCGTCCCATAACCATATACGTGCCACACCTTGATGCAATGCTAATAACATGGCATGTTTGAAATTTTGCTCTTCCATAGTCGAAGGACTCAAGTGAAGTACGAACTCATGTTCCTTGCTGGAGTTAACCACCACGGGGAAGGAAAGATCCCGGCCGGTGAGCTTAAGTGTAACACGGTTGACTTTCTTCTTATCCTGCATATCATTGGGATAAAGAAAATTTTCTGCAATTTCGCTTGCCTTGATGATTATACGCGTGGCTTCGTCGTTTGACATGTAGAAGAGAGAGAAACGCTTCGCCGGAATACTGTCGGCTTCGGCGTCATTAACAATAGTTATGGCAAAACCTTTAGAGGCTTCATGGTTTGCCCATATTGAGACTAAGCCAATGAAAGCCATAAAAACAAACCGGAAAAGGATGCTCGAATTCGTTTCATCGTCCTCGATGTCATGATGACTTTGTGGCGTAGTTGTGGTGGTGGCGGCAACCCCCACGGAGGAGGTAGCGGTGGCGCTTGGTGGTGGATATACAAGTGGTTGGAGGAGATGTTGATTCTCCTCCATACAGAATTTAGAGAGAATTATTTGTATTGTACAAAATTCAATGGTGAATAGATGTTAAAAAAGGCATAATGGCATGGCAGACAAATTGATAACCATTAGCAGCCTTTTATAAATTGAATGAGCCATTTCACATGCCATGTTCATGTCGAACATTACATACTTACTTTAATAGTTAATTATTTTTTCTGGATCTAATCAAAATAGAGGAATCCTAAACATAGTTATTGTAAATTAGTTCTTGAAAATTTTAACTAATTCCATTAAATCATGGTTTTGTGGTATTAGATATTTTAGTTAGACATTTTTAGTTCCTTTAACTCATTGCCATCTAGTTCATTACCAGCTAATATTCTGTTAATTCTGTTAAGTTGCCAGCTAAGCATTCTGTTAACTTTGTTTATTTATATGGTGCACATTTGTAAACATCAACCGTGAGATAAGATCGAATGAATTCATTTCTCGCCATTTTCTATCTTCTTCAATTCAATATGGTATCAGAGCATTGATTGAATTTCTGATTCGTCTTCTTTATTCCTCCATAAATTGAATCAGAACTTGATAATTACAGTCCCTTCATTCATTGATCAAGCATCTCCATGGTGATTGATGCTACAATATTATCAGACACGGCAGGAAGCAATCCTTTCATCGAGGATGGGTGAATCCCTATTATCTTCATCATTCGGATAGTCCAGGACTTATTCTGGTTTCTCAACCACTTACGGGTGAAAATTACACCTCCGGAGCAGAAGCATGATGATCGCTTTGTCTGTAAAGAACAAACTCAGTTTCATTGATGGTTCCATTCCGAAACCAGAAGGTAATGACAGTCTCATTAATTCCTGGATTCGCAACAATAATATAGTCATATCTTGGATTCTTAATGTTGTGTCTAAGGATATATCAGCTAGTATTATATATTTGGTGTCCGTTTATGAGATATGGAAGGATCTTAATGAGAGATTTCAACAGAAAAATGGACCACACATTTTCTAGTTGAGACGTGAATTGATGAATCACACTCAATCTCGTTTAACTGTAGGAGCTTACTTCACCAAACGAAAGACTATTTGGGAGGAATTGAGTAATTACAAACCGACTTGTTCGTGTGGAAAGTGCACTTGTGGGGGGAAATACGGCTTTGGTAGATCATTATTAGACTGAATATGTGATGTCATTTTTTTATGGGGCTTCATGACTCGTTTGCCCAAACTAGGAGCCAAATATTGCTAATGGATCCAATACCACCCATCAATAAAGTTTTTGCCCTTGTATCCTAAGAAAAAATCAGACGAATTTGAGCAATGTAACATGATCATTTGCTGGGAATAATCCAATGGTATTTGCCATAAAAAATGAAGGTAGTCGATCTCATAATAGCCAATAGTTTGGAAAACCTCGGAAGAAGGATCGACCAATTTGCACATATTGTGGATTTTTTGGTCACTCTGTTGACAAATGTTATAAATTTCATGGTTATCCTCTTGGCTACAAAATGAGATAGAAGAATATTGCTCCTCCTAATCAAGTTGTTACTGCAAAATCAAGTCTCAGAATCCTCTGCTCATCAAGGGAACATTGATGGATTTGTTCAAACTTTGAATCCAAATCAGTACCAGCACTTATTAGCCATGTTGAGCTCTCATCTCATATTAGCTAAATCCAACGCAGGAGCTGATACTAATATAGAACACACATCAGGTACCTGCCTCTTTGTTTCTAATCATGCTAGCCTTCACTCTCCTAGATATTAGATAGTTGACTCTGGAGCTACAAACCGTGTTTGTTTTGATTAGTCCTTATTTCATACCTTGTTTTCCGTTCCAAATTCATTTGTCACTCTTCCAAATAACACTCGCATACATGTTAAATTCTCTAGCTCAATTTAACTCAGTCCATCATTAATAATTCATGATGTTCTTTATGTTCCTCAATTCCAATTTAACTTACTGTCTGTTAGCTCATTAACAAAGAATTCTTCATTTCATGTCAGTTTTCTTATGGATTCTTGTGTCATTCAGGAAATACCAACTTTGAAGATGATTGGCAAGGGTAGTAAAGTAGCTGATCTTTACATTATTGACACTACCACCACTTTTTCCAATTCTTACAATTCTATTCCTGCTGATACCATCTGTAATTCCTCCATTTCAAAAGTAAATAACGTTTCATCACATATTTGGCATAATAGACCTGGACATTTGTCATTTAAATGCTTAGAAATGCTGAAAGACAAGTTGACATTCAATTGTAATGTTCATAAAGACATTCATTGTTCCATTTATCCTTTAGCAAAACAAATGCGACTCTCATTTGTTTCTAACAATAATCTGTCTGCAAATCCGTTTGATCTGGTTCATTGTGGCTCATGTGGTCCATATCATACCCCAACACATGCTAGTTATCGATATTTCATTACCTTGGTAGATGATTGTACCTAGATTTACATGGTTGTTCTTCATGAAACAAAAGTCTGATGCTAAATTCATTATTTCCAAATTTTTCTCTCTCATTGAAACACAATTTGGCAAAGTCATCAAGAAATTTAGATCTGACAATGCTCCTGAGCTAAAATTCACAGGCTATTTCAATTCCAAAGGAGTACTACATCAGTTTTCTTGTGTTGAACGACCTGAACAAAACTCTGTAGTGAAAAGAAAACATCAACACCTCCTTAATGTAGCTACAGCTCTTTTCTTCCAATCTCATGTTCCTATAAAGTTTTGGGGAGAATTTGTCCTCACTGCTACATACTTAATCAATCGAACTCCATCGCCCTTATTACGTGGTGAATCTCCTTTCCAACTCCTTTACAATAACCCAGTTGATTACACTCTCCTCAAGGTTTTTGGTTTCCTATGTTATGCATCAACTCTGCCTTCCACCAGAAGCAAATTCCACCCTCGCGATGTGCCTTCTATATTTGTTGGATATTTGCCGACATCAAAGGATACAACCTTTACAATATAGAATCCAAAAATTTCTTTGTATCCCGTGATGTTATATTTCATGAAACATTGTTTCCTTTTCAATCAATATTTCATCATATTGAAGTCATTGACCCCAACTTCTGATTTGCCTATCTCCACTGTGCCTACATCTAATTTGACTGCACATCATGATAATATCCACTCATACATGATCCTGTTGTTCTAAGGACTACCAGAATCATCAAACCTCCTTTTTATTTGCAAGACTATCATTGCAATATGCTTCAGCACAAATCCAAGCCCGCCTCAAATATTATATATCCTTTACATAATTACATCTCTTATAAATCCCTTTCATCTTCTCATTGTGCTTATATTCTGCATATATCTTCCACCTATGAACCCCAATTATATCATCAAGCTATCCATTATCCACATTGGAGAGAGGTTATGGCTAATGAATTAGAAGCTATGGAGGCTAACCATACCATACCTGGTCTGTTCAGACTCTCCCTAAAGGCAAACATTCCATTGGATGTAAATGGATTTATAAAATTAAACACAGGTCTGATGGTAGCATTGAACGTTACAAAGCCCGGTTGATGGCAAAGGGCTACACGCAACAAGAATGCTTGGATTTATTGAGACATTTTCACCGATTGCAAAACTTGTTACTATTAAAATGTTACTTGCCAAAGCAAGCTGCCATTAAAAGATGGCATCTACATGGATCTTCCTTTGGGTTATACTTCACACAGGAAGGTTGATAGCAAGGAGGAGAAATTGGTTTGTCGTTTGCACAAGTCAATATATGGTTTGAAACAAGACTCGAGACAATGGAATGTGAAACTGACTTCCTATATTCTATCACAGGGTTTTAAACAATCAAAATCAGATCATTCTTTGTTCAGCAAGACGGATGGCTGCTCGTTCACCAT